ATGAAGGCACCACATTTGCGGCCTCCGACACCAACTTCCACACAAACTAGGACCACAACTTTGTGCCACCCAGGATTCCCTAGGGTCTCCGTCTGACCACTCTCTGCGAATCCTCTAAGGCCTCAGACACATCTTATGTACAAAGCACATTTTGGTCTAGATGAGTCTGCGGGATGACTAAAGAGTCATTAGCCTTGGCCAACTCATGAAGTAGGGAGGGTATTCCCACTTCACCATGAGTAGAAGCAGCTAAAACTTCCATCGGCCTCTTGTGTTTCCCGGGCTAGAAGCCTGGGAAGAAGGCACCCCTCCCTTAGGGTATCTTCTGCGTGACCTTCGCTTTCTTGCACTTATGCTGGGTGTGCTCACTTTCACCTAGTTAATGCAAGCTCCATGCGAACGGCGGTCCCGCTACACTAATCTAAGACTGCCTTAACCCAATCATCCACTTTGGACTGATTGGAGGCGGCCTGCCCTGGATTCTTTTGATGGCTTTTCACTCGGCCATCCGCCTTAGCCTTTTTAATACCGCGGCAAGGTGCTACCCTCAGCATAGTCCTCACCACATCCTTTGGTGTGTCCATCAGGTCAGAAAGGTCATTGACTTCATCATTTGTCTAACCTTCTTCTTCCACTCCTGTGGACTCTGCTTTCTTCTTCCGTCTACTGAAGAATGATATGTCAACTGTGTTCTCAGTCTCTCAGGGAGAATTAGCGAATGCCTAGGACAACAATGAGATTCTCAATCGGTAGTCGCAAACTCCCTGACTAGTGCCAACGAGCTTCTACCCTGTCAATGTACTCTTCTAAAGATAGGGTCTCACCCCTAACTCCTATGCGTCCTCCATATCCGGCTTTCGCTATGAACACACTTAAGCCAGTATCACTTCCTCTCCCGGCAAGGTTCTCTTTGCCCTCACCCATATTGGAAACAATCCCATCCTGAGATTGAGATCCTCCTCCTTCTTTTCACTTGTGTCAGGAAGGGGAGCCCTCTTCAGGGTTTTTGAGAACAAGGAACTTGCTGCTGTTCCTGTGGTGGAACAGGTTGCTGTGGCGGTGATTGAGTAGCTGTCACCAGGGTTGTCAAGCCCCGGCCCCGGGGCCCCGGCGGGGGTCTGGGGGTCCGGGGG